GGTTCCCCAGCATAACACACTATTGATAGAGGCAGGACCCCCACCCCCTCCCAACAGTATAGGTCATCTCTACAGGGCCAGGGTGAGGGGGGCAGGGTGCAGAGATGGGCTTCCTGAGCAGTTTGCACGCCACTTACCCAGCCCCCAACCCTGTCCGCTTCCATCACTCCGCTCCATCCCCACTGGGGGAATGCCCACCCACCTGCCCGCCTTCCACCTCCAGCATACTCAGCTCTGGCATGAGTGGCGGCTCTCCCAGTGGCTGGCCTGGAGGTGGTGTGGGCTCTCAGCTGGATGCAGCCGAATTAGGAATCAGGTAGCACAGAATCCAGCCCTGCTGTCCCAAGCAGCTGGAATGACTCTTTGGATTTTCTGCATCACTGAACGAGGACGGACGGGAAAGGAACCAGTGGGGCCTGGATTCTCTGGGAATAAATGAGGGCTTCTCCGGAGCGGGGCGGGGTGGGGGGTGTGTGTGGAGCTCTTGCCCCCCAGGGAGTGCTGGAGGGGGAGCTGTGAAGCATCCTGCTCCCACCTGATGGCTGAACCGACTCCTTCTAGAACCTGATGCTCGTGCGGCCACTCTTCTGCTCAAGAACCTGCTGTGGCTGGACTGTCCCTCCTGTCCAAGCGGCCTCAACCTTCCCTAAACCAGCCCCCCACCTTCCAGCACTGCTCTGGCCCATCCAGACACGACTCCTCACTTTTAACCATACTGGCCTGCGCATCTTTGGGTACACTGTGCCTCCCACTTGGAGTGACCTTTCTCCGAACCTCTGGTACTGTCAAGACAGCCTCCTCCACGAAGCCCTCCCTGACCACTCCAGCCCCTTTGACCTTCCCCTTCTCTTAGCAACCAGCGTTCAGACTGCCAGGAGCTTCATGCTGTCTTAACTGAGCGTGGTGGGGTGGGTATTGGAAGCAGGTAGACCCAGCCTGGTCTGCCCCTTCCTGAGCAAGTTGTTTCCTCCCTCTGAACCCGTTCTCCCCCAGTCCATCCCCATTTATGGAAGGAAATAGCCCCTCCTCACAGGACTGGGGTGTGTAAAGTGTTTTGCACCCTTGGCACACCCAATCCAGGCCTCTTGTTTTACAGACAAGAGCCTGAGGCTCAGGAAGGGAGCTGGCTTGCCCAAATCCGTGTCTTAATGACAGAGTCAGAGCTGCCACTCAGGTGGCAGCATGCATCTTCGCCAGCATCATGCCTCATCCTGACCTTCGAATGCGTGTGCATTGTTTCCTCTGACAAGTCTTCCAGCCTTTGGTACCACTGGCCACTTCAGGGGCACGGGGGAGCCAGGAGCGGCTGAAGGCCCAGCACCGGGGTGGGCAGTGGTCTGGGGGGTGAGGATTCTGGAGATGAGCTGTCAAGCTAGTGACTGCACACAAGAGGGTCAAACGGGGCTCCCTGCGAGGGACCGGCCAGAAAGGATGGGGAAATGCACACGGGTGCCGTCCGAGCAGGAGGCACCGCCGGCTGCAGTAAACAGCCCCTGCCCCCAGTCCCTAAGTTGCTCTCCGGGTGCCACCCCAGCCCCTCCTCTGGGGCCTTTCGCTCGAGCCCTTAGGCCATCGTCCCTTCTGATCATCGATATTTGGAGTATCATCCCCCGGGAGGAGCCTGCTGATCATCAACAGTAACCCATCTGGGGGTGGGGGGCTTGCGGGGCAGTTAGGAGTGGGGGTGATGTCATGGCTACTCTGTTACCCTGCCTGGCCCTGTGCAGATCTGCTGGTCTCACCCTCTCACAGCAGCTGGTCCCCATTTCCACGGTGCCCAGGCCCCTGTTTACAAGGCAGCTTTCTTTCCTCAAGTACCAACTGCATGCAGGGCAGCCGGAAACGCCTCTCCCACTGCTGGGCAGGTGGGGCCTGGCACTTGGGAGGCTGAGCCAGGCAAGGATTAGTAACCAGGCAGCGGGTGGCTCCGGGCTGTGTGTCTGGGTGAGCGGGCAGCGTCGGGGAAGGCGCTTGGCAGCGTGGCCCACCCTCCCCACTGAGAAGCAAGCTAGAGGTGGTGGGCAAGCTGCCCCGGCCGCGGGGAGACCTAAGCATCTGGCTGCACCCGGGGCGGTCACGGTGGCGTCCGTCTGCTACCCTGAAGTGGGGACAGAGGGTCTGGGTAGCACCCTCGCTCTTGAGAGGCACGCACGTGGACCCGAGGAGTCGGACCCTGAAGGGTGGATGGGCAGATGAGCTGGCTAGCAGACACCAGCCTAGCGGCTTAGGACAGGAAGCCATCTGACAGGAAGCAGTGAGTGCCAGCCCCCTGCGGGGCCCCCAGCAGCGGGGCTGGGGGTGGGTGTGGGGGGTGGGCTGGGAAGACAGGGCGTTAATCTAAAGAGCATCAGGGCAGCTCCCTCCAGAAGGTGACCTTGTGTTCTGGGACAGCTGCCACCCGTGCTGGGCATCTTTGGGGCACAGAGGGCAGCTGGCTGGGCCAAGGCTGGCCGGTTTGTGGGAAGCCAGCCAAGGCCTTCCCTGTGGCTCACTCTGCTGTTCCCCCTGGGGATCTGTGCTCCCCTCTAAATCCCTTCCTTCCCCTTGCGTCTTGGGCTCTGAGAACAGGTGAGTGACAGACGACAGGCTGGTCCGTGTGGGATGCTTGCTCAACCCGAGGGGCCTTTGGTTGACCACCTGCGGCCTGAGTCTTTCTCAACTGGTCAGTCTCCTAGAGAAAGGCAACGGTCCTGAGATGCGGCGGCGTCCCTGGCTCTCCCCTCCCCAGCCACCTCCTCACACAATCAGAATTCTGATTGTGAGTAGGAGCCCGTCTGCTCAGAGGCTGTCAGAGTCGACCAGCATAAGATGATAATAGCCGTGGCTTTGATGAAGGGTCCACAGGTCCTTCAGGACCCTCACACTCTCATCACAGTTCACTCAATTCCCCGGGCCCCCTTCATCTGGCCCAGATATGCTAAGGGCACAGCGGTCAAACTCCCTGCTCCTGAGGTATCCTGCAGCGGCTCACCCTGACTCACAGGACATCAGGCTCCCAAGTTCTGAGCCGCTTCCAACCCTACTTTCATTGCCTGTGCTTTTGACAAGCCAGAGCCAGAGAAGGCCACCTGGATCACTGGCGTCCTCCATGCATCTTCTCAGCCCCAGGACTTCTTGAACCCGGAGGAAGGAACAGTCCCTTAGAAAAGCATCATGGGTCACTTGACGTGTCCCAAGGGTGCCAGGATCTCTTGTTGCTTACAGAGAACAGGGGTCATTTTCTAACTAAAGCCTTTATTTCCATTCAATCCACTAACCGATTGTTTCGCTCAGGTACCTGCATTTGCCCACAGCAGAGAGTCTGGTCAGACCCCTTGACGGATGGGTTTTCTCCTGGCCAAGGCCTTTAGGCCTGGGCAAGGGTCCAGTGGAAGGTAGGGGATGGGGAGAGAATCACGGGCTGTCTCGCCGGGGGAGGAGAGGAGCCCGGCAGCGCATGGTCTGCAGGTGATGCGCTTGAGGGCTGGGGTATCACAGTGAACAATCCGGGTCCTGGTCTCTGGTGCAGCCCGATTGAGGCTTTCCAGAGACAAAGTGGAGGCCATCTGGCCGTCTGAGGGCACTCGGGAACCTCGGAAGGGCCGGTTTACCTGCAAAGTACCGGACAGACGGCGCCAGAAGGAGCCCCGAGATGTGGGCAGAGACTTCTGACCCCGCGGCCGCCTCTCCCTTCTCAACCTCTTGCTCTCAGAGACAGTCCTTGGGTGGGATTGGTCCTCCACCTTGGCCCCCTACCCTCTGCCCAAACCTCAGTCTCTGAACGGCCCAGATGACCCCGAGGCAGTTGGCTTTGGTGAGGCCTGGCAGCACGTGGGAAACTCTGTGGGGGCGGGGGAGGGGAGAAGGATGTCAATGAAAACCATATAAAAAATCCAGAAATGTGCATATAAAATCTCGCCCTTGGTGTATTGCCTAAGTCAGTAAGCAGAAAGCACCTTCTTCCTGGAGAAGGATCAAGTCCTCAAAAGGTAGGAAATGTCAAAGTGTCACTTCATTGTCATTAAAAAAAAAACAAAAAAAAAAACAACCAACAAGTCCCACCCTCCCCACCCACCCAAACCAAATCCACCCCTGACCAAAAATACCCCCGAGTCCACGAATTGCTGTAAACAAACCCAGATGCAGAAGCAGTCCTTGGTGGCAGTCGTAGCTAGTCCTCCAGAGGGGGGCTGGTGGGAGTGGGTGCCCCGCCCGGCCGGGGCCCAGGAGCCGCGCCCATGACCTGGGCGTGGAGCTTCAGGTCGAGGTGGTGGCGGGTGCCGTGCCCAGCCTCAGGAAGGCTGACCTTTCAGGTGTCCCCCTGTTCTCCCTGACCCAGGGGAACAGAAGTCCCTTGCAGCCCCGGGAGCTGACAGGAGAAACAAGTCTCTCATTGGAGTTTCTAAAATATTCTCCAAAGACATAAAAATTCTTCTGATCGCCCGGTGGCAGTGCGATTGGATTTTCCCAGGCTTGTTCCAGGGGTGGCTGCCTGTCCGCCTGTCCATCCGCTTGGCACGTGGCTGTTGAGCGAGACCTGGAAGAGCAGCCCCAGGGACAGGAGAGAAGGGTGGCCCCTGTCCCTCCCTTTCACATTTTTTTTCCTGAACGCGTTTCTTGGCTCCCGCCAGGTCACCTTCCCAGAGGGAGCTGGAGAGAAACTGCTTTTGATCTCCAATGGGACAAACTGCATGGATCTCCCAAGCCCTTTTTTTCTTCTTTTTCCTCCAAGAACGATGATCACTTTCCTTATGAGAATCCTCTTTAAAAAATATTCCTTGGTATTTCCCGCCCCCTCCCAGGATCTATTTTCTTTTGTCCCCATTCCCTTTTTTCCATCATCTGAGTTGCACATATTCTTGGTGACGTCTCCTGGCTGGAGCAATGCTTGGTTCTTCCTGTTGCCCGTAGCCTCCTGGCAGGTGGCTGCTGACCCTGCGGTGGACCGAGGACCGGGGGCCGGCTGGGGGGCGCGGAGGGGGCGGGGCCTGGAGGAAGCGGTGAGCCGAGGCAGGTGAACGTCAAACCTCCACCGACTGGATCTGGTTCATCTGTGCCCGCATCACCTGGATACTGTTGAGGATTTTTTTCTGGTGACCAGCCAGGGTGACCCCAACCCGGAGAATGTCCCTTTGGGAAGAGAAACACATGTGGACACATGAGGGTGGGGGGACCCCATCCAGGTAGAACCACCTGGGCTATTCCAGGGGTTTCCCACTGGAGAGGGGGAGGGGAGCTGGAGTGAGTGAATGTTAAGATGGGGGGAGCAGGGGATTGGGAGTGAGGGCAGCTAGGTGCACATGTCTGCTTTGCTGCAGGAGAGCAGAAGGGGCCCTGCATGACCCTGCAACAACTCAGTATCCATTCGTTCACTTTTTATCTCTGTTGATCTTCCTACCACACATCCCAGTTCACAGAAAAAACAGGCTAAGGGGAGTCCTGTGGTTTGCTCAAGGTCACTCAGATGGTCAATACTGAAATCAGATTGACTATATTCTTTGCAGCCAAAGATGGAGAAACTCTATACAGTCAGCAAAAACAAGACCGGGAGATGACTGTGGCTCAGATCATGAATTCCTTATTGCCACATACAGACTTAAATTGAAGAAAGTAGGAAAAACCACTAGACCATTCGGGTATGACCTAAATCAAATCCCTTATGATTATACAGTGGAAGTGACAAAATAGATTTAAGGGATTAGATCTGATAGAGTGCCTGAAGAACTATGGATGGAGGTTGGTGACATTGTACAGGAGGCGGTGATCAAGACCAGCTCCAAGAAAAAGAAATGTAAAAAGGCAAAATGGTTGTCTGAGAAGGCCATACAAATAGCTATGAAAAGAAGAGAAGCGAAAGGCAAAGGAGAAAAGGAAAGATATACCCATTTGGATGCAGAGTTTCAAAGAACAGCAAGGAGAGAAAGAAAGCCTTCCTCAGTGATCAATGCAAAGAAATAGAGGAAAACAACAGAATGGGAAACACTAGAGATCTCTTCAAGAAAATTAGAGATACCAAGGGAAATTTTCATGCAAAGATGGGCACAATAAAGGACAGAAATGGTATGGACCTAACAGAAGCAGAAGATATTAAGAAGAGGGGGCAAGAATACACAGAAGAACTGTACAAAAAAGATCTTCATGACCCAGACAATCACGATGGTGTGATCACTCACCTAGAGCCAGACATCTTGGAATGTGAAGTCAGGTGGGCCTTAGGAAGCATCACTGTGAACAAAGCTAGTGGAGGTGATGGAATTCCAGTTGAGCTATTTCAAATCCTGAATGATGATGCTGTGAAAGTGCTGCACTCAATATGCCAGCAAATTTGGAAAACTCAGCAGTGGCCACAGGACTGGAAAAGGTCAGTTTTCATTCCAATCCCAAAGAAAGGCAATCCCAATGAATGCTCAAACTACCGCACAATTGTACTCATCTCACACACTAGCAAAGTAATGCTCAAAATTCTCCAAGCCAGGCTTCAGCAATATGTGAACCATGAACTTCCAGATGTTCAAGCTGGTTTTAGAAAAGGGAGAGGAACCAGAGATCAAATTGCCAACATCCCATCGAAAAAGCAAGAGAGTTCCAGAAAAACATCTATTTCTGCTTTATTGACTATGCCAAAGCCTTTGTGTGGATCACAATCAACTGTGGAAAATTCTGAAAGAGATGGGACTACCAGACCACCTGACCCACCTTTTGAGAAACCTATATGCAGGTCAGGAAGCAACAGTTAGAACTGGACATGGACCAATAGACTGGTTCCAAATAGGAAAAGGAGTATGTCAAGGCTGTATATTGTTGCCCTGCTTATTTAACTTATATGCAGAGTACATCATGAGAAATGCTGGACTGGATGAAGCATAAGCTGGAATCAAGATTGCTGGGAGAAATACCAATAACCTCAGATATGCAGTTGACACCACCCTTATGGCAGAAAGTGAAGAACTAAATAGCCTCTTGATGAAAGTGAAAGACGAGAGTGAAAAAGTTGGCTTAAAACTCAACATTCAGAAAACTAAGATCATGGCATCCAGTCCCATCACTTCATGGCAAATAGATGGGGAAACAATAGAAACAGTGACAGACTATTTTTTTGGGCTCCAAAATCACTGCAGATGGTGACTGCAGCCATAAAATTAAAAGACGCTTGCTCCTTGGAAGAAAAGTTATGACCAACCTAGACAGCTTATTAAAAAGTACGGACAGGACATGGAAGCAACCTAGATGCCCATCAGCAGACGAATGGATGAGGAAGCTGTGGTACATATACACCATGGAATATTACTCAGCCATTAAAAAGAATTCATTTGAATCAGTTCTAATGAGATGGATGAAACTGGAGCCCATTATACAGAGCGAAGTAAGCCAGAAAGATAAAAGACCATTACAGTATACTAACACATATATATGGAATTTAGAAAGATGGTAACGATAACCCTATGTGCAAAACAGAAAAAGAGGCTCCTATGTATAGAACAGACTTGTGGACTCTGGGAGAAGGCGAGGGTGGGATGTTTCAAGAGAACAGCATTGAAACACGTATATTATCTAGGGTAAAACAGTTCACCAGCCCAGGTTGGGTGCATGAGACAAGTGCTCGGGCCTGGTGCACTGGGAAGACCCAGAGGGATTGGGTGGAGAGGGAGGTGGGAGGGGGGACCGGGATGGGGAATACATGTAAAAAAAAAAAAAAAGATACACTAAGGTTGTGATAAAAAAAAAAAAAATAAATAAATAAATTAATTAAAAAAAAAAAAAAAGCACGGACATTACTTTGCCAACAAAGGTCTGTCTAGTCAAAGCTATGGTTTTTCCAGTAGTCATGTATGGATGTGAGAGTTGGGCTATAAAGAAAGCTGAGCGCTGAAGAACTGATGCTTTTGAACTGTGGTGTTGGAGAAGACTTTTTTTTTTTTTTGGAGAAGACTTTTGAGAGTCCCTTGGACTGCAAGGAGATCCAACTAGTCCATCCTAAAGGAAATCAGTCCTGAATATTCATTGGAAGGACTGATACTGAAGCTGAAACTCCCAATACTTTGACCACCTGATGTAAAGAACTGACTCATTGGAAAAGACCTGATACCAGGAAAGATTGAGGGCAGGAGGAGAAGGGGACAACAGAGGATGAGATGGTTGAATGGCATCACTGACTCAATGGCCATGAGTTTGAGTAAACTCCAGGAGATGGTGATGGACAGGGAGGCCTGGCGTGCTGCAGTCTGTGGGGTTGCAAAGAATTGGACATGACTGAGCGACTGAACTGAACTGAAAAGCCAGTGGGTGGCAGGAGACCTGGGTGTTGATAGGAATGTGATTTCTGCATTGGCCATCTTGCTTCTTAGTCCCCCATATCCCTGCTGAGACACTGTCTATTCCTCACTCTCCAGAGGCCCCCTGCTTGGCGGGATGGGTGGGGAGGGGGGCTCACAGCAGTGGGTAGAGGTGGCTGGGGCACTTACTCCATCATCATCTGCGACACGACGTCGAAGGAGGTGAAGCCGGCGTTGGCGAAGCTCTCCTTGTACTGCCCCATCTTGATGGCCTCCAGCCACTCGTCCACCGTGTTAAAGCTGGTGTAGTCGGGGATCGTGCGGTCCAGCAATGGCAGGTTGATTCTAGGGGGTGGGGTGGGCAGCAAGTATGGTCAGCGCACATGCTGACCTAGGGGTGAGGGTGAGCATGGGCATGAGCACAGGTGCAGGCTGCGTGTACCTGCACATGTGCACCCATGTGTGAGAACACAGTGTGTATGCCTGTGACCACTTCTGTGGGAGAGCAGGCGTGAACCCACATAAATGTGCACATGTGTATGCGTGAGTAGGTGAGAGTGAGCATGTGTGCAGGCTCAAAGCGGGGGCTATCTGGACAGTCTAGGGAAGGCTCTCGGGGACTGCTGAGAGGTGGACTGCAGCGGTGAGGCGGGGACATGTCTCCATGCTGCTGCTTTGGGGGAAAGGGTTTCAGCTGGACTAACTGTGCTGATTTAATCTATCTATCTATCATTATTTATGCCCGGTCTTAGGTGTGGCATGCCAACTCTTAGTTGTGGCAGGTGGGATCTAGTTCCCTGACCAGAGACCAAACCCAGACCTTCTGCACTTGGAAGTGCCGCGTCGTAGCCACTGGACCCCAGGGAAGGCCCATCACTGTGCTGATTACTGGTCCTTTCCTCTCCCAGCGCCCTTCTCTGTCCTGCCCCACCTTGGCTATGCTACAGGAAGCCCATCTTGTGGACCGCATCGCCAACGTCCAGACACAGCTGCTGCGGCTGGTGGGAGTGATTTCTGTGCAGGCGAGGTATGAAGAGGCCATCATGAGGCTAAAAGCTCAGAGTGATTTTTATCCAGAGAATCAGGCGTGGCTGAGGTAGGGTTGTGGTGAGGAGGGATGGGCCGCGGCAAACATGGACATCTCCTGGCAGGTGAAGGGCTCGGGCCCAGAGAGTCTCTGGACACAGCCCGCCCAGGGCCCTGAGGACATCTGGCCAGACACCCCTCAGACACCCCGCGTGGTCGAGGGTCCTGAAGAGTAAGGATGTGAAGGGCTGGGACGGGCCTGTGGAAGCTGCCCAGGGAGAGCCAGGGTTGGCTGCAGGTCTGATGCAGGGTGCCCTGGGACCACTGGGCAAAGGGAAGCACCCGGATCGTTGAAGCTAACACCGGTGCACCCGAGCCAGTCTCTGCCATGAGGATGGCAACTCCAGTGTGGGGGCATGCGTGCCTGTGTTTTCTGTGGTATGTGAGTGCTTCTGAATGTGCGTGCTCAGGTACCTATGGTTGTGTGTATGCCTGAGAGCTTGGGAATGAGTGTATCTATGTGTGTGAGGCTGTGAGCATAAGCATGAGTGTTTGTGCCCAAATGTGGGTTCATGTATGTGTGTAGGACTGTGTGTGCGTGTGATGCCACAACTAAAGATCCTGCACAGCCAAATAAATATTTTACAAAAAGATACCGATAATTTCTTTTAAAACGTGTCCTCTCTGACCACGTTTTAAAAGATGCTTTCTCTACCACCCATCTTGGCTTCCTTCTCCTCCTCATGATAGCCTGTGCTCTGCACTCTGCACTGCAAGGCAGGCAGCCTCCCCCCAAAACCCTAGCACTGTCCTTCCCCATCCCAATTCAGATATCCCAGGAGGGGGCAGGGCCAGGCAGCACTGGGGAAAGGGGTGGGGGGGGGGGAGTACCCGGAAGAGAGCGGCGCCATGGCTTTGAGGCTGTTGGGGTTGCGGATCATCTTGTCCAGCGTGTTGACGATCTGGCCGAACTTGGGCCGGTGATTGCGGTCCTTCTGCCAGCAGTCCAGCATGAGCTGGTGCAGCGCGCTCGGGCAGTCCATAGGCGGTGGCAGCCGGTAGTCCTGCTCTATGGCGTTGATAACCTGGGGAGGGGCAGGGAGGGGTTGTGGGGGTGAGGGAAGAGCATCTGCTCTCTGGTCTTGCCCCCAGTGCCTTGCAGGACAGGCTTATTTGGTTGCCATAGCAACCATCTCCACTTCCTGCAGGCAGCCCCAGTATGTGCCTCTCCTGGGTTCCCACCATCTCCGACCTCAGTCTGGCCTGGAAGCTGGGCGTCTGGCTCCCCTTCCACTCAGCACCCAAGATACCCTCTGTCTCAGGGTCCACCAGGCCCACCCTCCTGTGAGGAGCCCCCCTATGGCTGCTCTGTTAGGGGAAAGGAGCCCAAACACCTTTCCAAGATGTCCTGCCCACAGGGCCAAATTTGTCTTCCCCAGCTTGACTGTGGGTATCTTCCCTGCTCAAGTATTCATTCCCTGTTCTGCATTGTTGAAAATCAGAATTCCTAGAGGGGGACTTTCAAACACCCCACTACTGAACCTCAGTAACCTTTCTGATCAAATTTTCACTGCTCCCCAACATGACTCCTCATCATCCCACTTCTGGGCCTTGGCACAGGGTGTTCATTCCACTTGGAGTCCTCACCTCTTCAAGTCTCACTACTGTTTGAGTCCCAGCTGTCGGTGTAGACCTGGCTAATCATGCCCACGTCCCCTTTCCTGAGCACCTGCGGGGTTTGACACCTGCCTTCCTCACTTTACCACCTGACCATACCTAGCACCTGATAACTCCATCTGCTTCCCCGAATGACTGTCCTGTCCCTCATATGGGTGGTGAACCGCTGAGGGGCAGACGTGGTCGCCGAGGGTTGGCCACAGGTGGCTGCATCCTGAAGATTTGCTTATTTGTGGATGGGTGGGCCTTTTCTGGGCTTCCCCAGTGGCGCTAGTGGTAATGAACCTGCCTGCCAATGCAGGAAACCTAAGAGAATCGGGTTTGATCCTTGGCTCGGGAAGATCTCCTGGAGAAGAGAATGGCAACCCCTCTCCAGTATTCTGGAGAGGAGAATTCCCACAGACAGAGGAGCTGGCTGGCTACAGTCCACAGGTTGCAAAGACCTGGACACGAATGAAGCAACTTAGCATGCATGCACAGGCCTTTCCTACTCCTGACCCCCCTGGAGACTCCAGGGTCCTGTGCAGATGTTTGAATCAACCAACACTGCTGGGAGCTGCCCAGACCCAGGATCTCAGAGACCTTGCTCCTACCCGCTGAAAGTCGATCAAAAGCCCAGGAGTTCTGGGTCTTCCCCTCCCACCGGGCTGGCCAGAGAGGCTGCGCCCACCTCCTTGCAGACTTACGTCTTGGTTGGTCATGTCCCAGTAGGGCCGTTCCCCGTAGGACATCACCTCCCACATGACGATGCCGTAGCTCCAGACGTCACTGGCCGAGGTGAACTTCCGGTACTGGATGGCCTCTGGGGCCGTCCAGCGGATGGGGATCTTCCCACCCTGGGGAGCAGAACAGGGAGCGTCAATGGGTGGGAGGCTGACCCAAATAGCCTCTGCTGGTGAAGCTCCCTACCCTCCGCCCCGCGCTGCACAATCACGAAGTGCCTTATTGCTTCCCTAGACTCGCCCTGCTGCACTGGACCTGCAGGCACGTGCCTGTGACCTTCTCTCTGCATGAAGCGCCTTTTCCCACCCTGTCATCTGGTAATGTCCTCCTCATCTTTCAAGTCCCTCTGCACAGCTTTCCCTAAATCCAAAAAGGGTGGCGCATGCTCTTACTCCTATGACTGAGGTCATCAGGAGGCACGTCTCCCGGAGAGTGGTACTCATCTCATTTGCCTGCTTGCCTGCCTCCACTTCCCTGGTGGCTCAGATGGTAAAGAATCCGCCTGTAATGCTAGAGACCTGGGTTTGATTCCTGGGTCAGGAAGCTTCCCCTGAAGAAGGGGATGGCAACCCACTCCAGTATTCTTGCTTGGAGAACCCCACTGGTGGGCTACAGTCCATGGGGTCGCAAAGAAGCAGACACGACTGAGCGACTAACACTTTCATTTCACTTTTTCATTGCTTCCACTTGAACTACCTCTGAGATCTTCGAGGGCAAGTACTGTATTATTCCTTTCTGTTTAAAACTCTTCAACAGGGCCTTCCCTGGTGGTCCAGTGGTTAAGAATTCGTCTTTCCAATGCAGGGGACATGGGTTTGATCTCTGGCTGAGGAACTAGGATCCCACATGCCATGGGGCAACTAGGCCCATCCGCGGCAACTCCTGAGCCCATGCTCTGGAGATGCAACTAGAGAAGCCGCAATTGCATGCCTCAGTGAAGACCCAGCACAGCCAAAAAACAAAACAACCACTCCCACCCCGCCCCGCCTCCCTGCAACTCTTCAACAACCCTAACAGCTTTCAGGAGAGAGTCTTGAGCTTGGGCAGTCAAGGGTCTCCGAGACGTGGCCCTGTCTACCTCTCTAGCATGGTTGCCCACCACTTTCCCCAACAGCCTGTGTGCCCATCACACCTGCCCGTGAGAATACAGCATCTGACAAACTTTTATTGGCGCTGGCTTTCAGCTCAGCTATCATTCCCTCTTGGCAAGCCTTCCTCTGCCTCCTAAGCCTGGTGTCTGACTCTGCCCCATCGCTTGGTGGTGCTCTGCACACCTGTGCCCACCAGCCTGTGAGCTCCAAGAGGGCAGAAAATGGGGTTTACGCCTCTACCTCTCCAGGGCTTATAACAGCGCTTGGCATGAGCAAGTGTCGGTGGGAACGTGTTGTAGGGGGAGATGGACATCCGCCCTCTTTCCCGGCCCCGCGGCTCCACTGTCCCCTGCCTCTGTCTTACCAGGGCGCTGGTGTACGTGGGGTCTGAGGTATCGTCCTCCAGAAAGCGTGAGAGCCCGAAGTCAGACACCTTGCAGACCAGGTTGCTGTTGACGAGGATGTTGCGGGCGGCCAGGTCGCGGTGGACGTAGTTCATGTCGGCCAGGTACTTCATGCCGGCCGCGATGCCCCGCAGCATGCCCACCAGCTGGATGACTGTGAACTGCCCATCATTTTGCTTTGGGAGAAGTGCAGAAAACAGTGAATGGAAGCGTGTGCGTCAGATCTCTGGAGCGTTCTCACAGTGGGACACCAGACCGGGACCTGTTGCCCTGGCCTGGGCTCCCTGTGGAAAGGACTCAGATGCTCAGGGGCCTTAGAAAGGCCCAGGGGAGGCTGGTTTCAGTGTGGTGGAGAGAATATGGACTCTGGGGCTGGTTGAATTCTGGCTTTTCCCCTTGCTGGCTGTGCAACTTTGGACATGTGACTTAACCTCTCAGAGTCTTGAAAGTCAAAGTCGCTCAGTCGTGTCCGACTCTTCCCAACCCCATGGACTATACAGTCCATGGAATTATCCAGGCCAAAATACCAGGCCTTTCCCTTCTCCAGGGGCTCTTCCCAACCGACTGGTCAAACCCAGGTCTCCTGCATTGCAGGCAGATTCTTTACCAGCTGAGCTACCTGGGAAGCCCCTGTTTCCTCAACTGTGTGTTAAATGGGAATAAGTAATGCCCACCTTCTAGGCACTCAGTGTTCAACGAGAAGGTGCATGGAAGGCTCCTGGCACATACGAGGTGCTTAGTAAATGTTTGTTAAATAGCAAGTAGTTCAATGGCATACTTCTTTAAAAAAATTTTTTTTATTGCAGTATAACTGACTTACAATGTTGTGTTAGTTCTAGGTGTACACCAAAGTGAATCAGTTATACATATGCCCACTCTTTTTTTAGATTCTTTCCCCATTTAGGTCATTACAAAGTACTGAGAAGAATTCCCCGTGCTATACAGTCAGTCCTCATTAGTTGTGTGTGTGTGTGTGTATATGTGTGTGTATATATATATGGTGTTGTTCAGTTGCTAAGTCCTGTCTGACTCTTTCTGATCCCATGGACTGCAGCATGCCAGGCCTCCCTGTCCCTCACTGCCTTCCAGAGTTTACCCAAGTTCAGGTATATTGAGTCGGTGATGCCATCTAACAATCTCATCCTCTGGTGCCCTCTTCTCCTTTTGCCTTCAGTCCTTCCCAGCATCTGACTCACTGGAGGAGACCCTGGTGCTGGGGAAGATTCTGTTTATAGCAGTATGTATGTGTCACTTCCCATCTTCCACTTTCCCCTCCCCTTCCGATGGCACACTCCTGACTCCTAGTCAGTGCTCTTTGTCTAGCTGGTTGCCTGTGACCTCTCGGGGGGCCTAGGAACTTTCCTCTGTTGCCTTGTGCTCCAAACTCTCTCCCTGTACAGCTGTGGGGAAATCCAAACCTGGTGAAAACTCTGGACTAAGGGTCAGGAGACCTGATTCCAGGCCTGGCTCTCATCTCGAGCCTCTGGGTAACCTTGGGCACACTCTACTTCTCTTAGAGCCTCAGTTTTTCTCTTGGGCGTAAAGAGAAGGCTGGCTAAGTGCTTGGAGGGAACAGATTTCAGGTTGTATGCCAACTGATCAACTGGCTGTGGTTTCCCCGATAGAGAAGGATTCTGAGATTGCATCTGGGTTTAGTGGGAGAGAGTCTGGGATTTATTAGCAATGCCTGTCGTGGGCTCAATCCCTCTATCCCTGGGTCAGGAAGGTTCCCTGGAGGAGGGCATGGCAACCCACTCTAGTATTCTTGCCTGGAGAATCCCATGGACAGAGGAGCCTGGACAGCCACAGTCCATAGGGTCGCAAAGAGTCAGACACAAGTGACTTGGCATGCATGCACGCCGTGGGTAAAGGAATAGAAAGTGGCAGCCAGCAAGCCACTCTTGACCATGATCCTTCCAAGACCTTTCAGGCTCTGACAGCATAAAGCTGTGTTCGTTCACCGCTCCTCTTCCTGCCCCACCGCTCTTGGCTTTCCCTACCCGGAGGAAGGAGTCGAGGGAGCCGTTTTCCATGAACTCAGTGATGATCATCACAGGTGTGCTCTTGGTGACCACGCCCTCCAGGTGGATGACGTTGGGATGGTCGAACTGGCCCATGATGGAGGCCTCGCTCAGAAAGTCCCGGCGCTGCTTCTCGGTGTAGCCCGACTTGAGGGTCTTGATGGCCACGAAGATCTCTCTCTTGCCCGGCAGCTTCAGGTGGCCGCTGCATACCTCACCAAACTCCCCTGGGACAGACGCACCGAAAGAGGCAGGATGTCACTCGGCAGGTGGACGCGCCCTCCCTCTTCCCTGTCACCTCTGCCCCTGGGGGCTGCAGGAGCCTTTTCCTCCTCCGTGTTCAGTTAATCCTAGCAGACACAGAATCCCTTTAGAGAATGCAAGGGCCCCAAAGAGTCTCAGCCACCTTCAGGAGGAAGAGTAAACCCTTTGTGGCCAACCTGTGGTGTTTGGCTGGGCGAGGGGTGAGGATGCAGGGGGACCTGGCGAGATGGAGCGAGGGACCTGGGATGAATGGCAGGAAGGACAAAGCATTAGACAGAGTCCAGAGTACCGGGTCCCAGAACTAGCTCGGTCTCTGATGTGAACAAGCTCCTTCCCTGGGCCTGTTTCCTCATGTGATGATGAGGTAGTTTTACTGGACATCTTTGGGAGCCCGTGCCCCTTGGATATTCTGAGTCTTCAGGCCTTGGAGGGTCCTCTGAGGCATCCTACCCTCCACCCCAGGAGTACACACTGGGGTGGTCCCCCCCGCCATGGCTGAGGCCATGGTACTTGTGAGGGTACCAGTCACCTACCTGCTCCGATCACCTGCTCAATTTTGACACAGGAGATGTCAATTTCCTTGGCAAACTCCCGCACTGCCTCATTGGGGTCTTCGTAGGTGAAGGGGTCGATGTAGATCTTCATGCCTGGGGTCACTGGGAGAGAAGGTCAGGCTCAGTCACATGCACAGACTCAAGAGGTGGACAGATGGAAAAGTGTGAACCAGTCCCTCTGTGGGGGGAAGAACTCTCCCACAGGGCCCCAGTAAGAGCTGGGCAACCCCCTGCATTGTCAGTTGACCTCTCTGGGTCTCAGTGAGCAGGTGGGTACTGAGCTAAGTAGAAGGGTGAGGGGAACAGAAAGGTCAGCAGGGATAGCAAATAGGTTCTCATTTTTGTTCCAACTGTAATTGATTAACAAGGGCTTCCTCCAGCAGCTAAAAGACTGTGGGGATTGATTAACAATGTCTGTTCGAGCGTGGGCATGAAAGGATAGATAGGCTTGTCACTCTTGTGATATAGAATCAGGGGGTGCAAAGTAAAGGAAGAAGAAGACAAGAAAGGAGTAGAGGGAATTGGAACAAAAATACAGAAAGAGCAGGCAACAGACCATGTTCTTGGTCTTTTGCTAAGGAGAGCTCCCTGCTTTTCAAGGCCTAATTCAAGCCTTCTCTCCGCTCAGGAGACTTTTTGGCTGCCTCAGGCATCCCAGGCACTGGAGGGGCTGCCTCACAAGCATCTGAGTACCCACAGCTCCTAGGCTCACCTCCTGGGTCCCTCTGCTAGCCAAGTCTCAAACTTTTCTGGATCTCATATTCCTTGGTGATCAGCAGGAGGCTGGACACGGGGCATATGAATTTAATTCCCGATCTGATGTGGATTTTTATCTTTGATGCAGAAAGGAAGATGGTAACTTGGATACTAAAGACCCAATTCTGACCTCAGTAGTGAGTCAGCAACGTGCTTTGGAGGAAGGGAAAGATGATCCCCCGTTCCTCCTCCCAAAGGACTGGTCTTCCACTTCCCAGACCATCTGGCTCTCACCCAGCCGGGGCCTGCCTCTGGGTCCCCAGCTCCCTGCCCGCATCCTCCCCCTGCTCCAGGAGCTGTGACTTTGGGGGCAGCAGCTCGAGGAATTGGGTGCTGGAGTCCCTGGACCGTAGCAAGGCTTGGTAGGTTGGTGAGTGGGGCCACAACCCTGCTCAGCTGCGTGACCTTGGACTTGTTAGCTGACCACTCTCCGCCTCTAGTTCAGACATTCCAGTCGTCTAAGAGCTGGAACCTCTAACACAGGGGTTGGCAAAATGGCCCACTGCCCGTTTTGTAATAAAGTGTCATAAATAAAGTTTTATTGGAACACAGCCACACACATTCCTTTGTCTGTGACTGCTTTCACGTTCCAGTGGCTGAGTTGATCAGTTACAACAGAGACCATAAGGCCTGCAAAACTTAAAATATTTACTGTCTGACCCTTTACAGAAAAGCTTGCCAACCACTGCTCTAACACATTAGTTTTATTTTGTATTATTTATGTGGGTGTCTGTCTTGACCTTTAGGTCAAGGTTTTCTTAATTTGGGTCTGTGAACCACTTGGCAGCCTCAGGATGTGTTGAGGGGGGCTGCTGAAATAGAATACATTATTATTGTCTTTTTGGATTAGAAAAATAATTTATGCTCCTTATAGTTTAGAATTCTATAAATAAATATTGTTGAAAATAAATGTTCTCCAAAAATCTATCTCTGAATATAGAAAAATTTTTTCTGGATTTCCCTTATAATTTTATACACATACGTATGTATATTTGTGTTTCTCTGGGCATAGGATCCAAAACTTTTAGCAGACTTAGAGGAGCCTCTGACCTCAAAAGAGGTTAAGAACCACCGTCTTGCAACTTTACTAGGGGTCCAGTGGTTAAGAATCTGCCTTCCAATGCACTGGACTCGGGTCTGACCCCTGATTAGGGAACTAAGATCCCACATACCGTGGGGTAACTAAGCCCGTGTGCTGCAACTACAGAGCCCATGTGCCACAACGAAGACCCAGCACAACCTAAATAAATAAAAGATAAAACCATAGTAATTAAGTGAGATTACTTAAAAAACCCACCATCGTGGGACCTGGGAAGGGGGGGATGGGTGCACATTTTTTTCTCATCCCTCCCTGGTGCACTGCATAATGAATGCTCTGCACCCAGTTGACACTCAATGTGTGTAGATTGACAGAATCTAGATGATAGAGACAGAAGAATAACAATACCAGTTTCCACTTTCTGAGCCCTTTGTCTCTGCCCAACATTGTGCCAGGCTCTTTATATGAGCTCATCTCCTCCACCCAACAAATCCTAGAGGTTGCTGTTTAGTTGCTCAGTCCTGTCCGACTCTTTGCGACCCCATGGACTGCAGCACGTCAGGCTTCCCTATCCTTCACCATCTCCCTGAGTTTGCTCAAACTCGTGTCTATTGAATGGGTGATGCCATCTTGTCCTCTGTTGCCCCCTTCTCCTCCTGCCCTCCATCTTTCCCAGCATCAGGGTCTAGGTCTTGGCAATTTGCATCAGGTGACCAAAGTATTGGAGATTCAGTTACAGCATCAGTCTTTCCAATGAATATTCAGGACTGATTTCCTCTAGGATTGACTGGTTTGACCTCCTTGCAGTCCAAGGGACTCTCAAGAGTCTTTTCCAACACCAGAATTTGAAAGGATCAATTCTTCTGCACTCAGCCTTCTTTATGGTCCAACTCTCACATCAATAATAATAGTCATTTACAATAGTCATTTACTATTTACTATTGTAAATGACTATTGGAAAAACCATAGCTTTGACCAGATGGACCTTTGTTGGCAAAGTGATGTCTCTGCTTTTTAATATGCTGTCTGGGTTTGTCATAGATTTTCTTCCAAAGAGCAAGGGTCTTTTAATTTTGTGGCTGAAGTCACCATCTGCAGTGATTCTGGAGCCCAAGATAATAAAATCACTGATTCCACTTTTCCCCCCATCTATTTGCCATGAAGCTATGGGACGGGATGCCATGATCTTAGTTTTTTGAATGAGATAATTATTCTCATTTCACATGAGAGGAAACTTTAGCTCAGAGAAGCTAAGTAATTTGTCCAAGGCCACACAGCTGGCAAGTGGCATAGCCAGAATTTGAGCCCAGGCCTGTCATAATGGAGCCGAGGGCCACTGCTCTGAATCACCATGCTCACTGCTCCCTGAAGGAAGCCCACCCGGATCTGGCCCATGCTTCCTCCTCCTGCATTCATCTGTGACTACTCCTTCTCCAAGTCAGCCCTCCCCAGAGCGGGGGCATCAGCTCCCTCAGAGATGCTCTCTGTTTCACCCAGACTCAGTGTCTGGGCTGTGGCTCTTGGTGACTGACTTTTCACTCCCTGCCAGCAGAACTGGGGGAAGCTCTTCCTGCTGGGCCAGCTGGGGAGGGAGGACAGGAATGGGTCAGTTCAGGGAGCTAAGGAGAAGCACAACGGGAGCTCAAAGCTTGCTTGGATGCTGCCAGCCAATCAGATGCTGTCCCCAAGCCTTGGACAGGAGTGCTAGTTGGGAGGGCTCCATCACTTCCAGCAGGGGTCCCCAACCCTCTGGGCCACGTGGACTGGTACCCATCAGGAACCAGGCCACATAGTAGGAGGTGAGCGGCAAGCAAGTGAGCAAAGCTTCATCTGTATCTATAGCTGCTCTCTATCACTCTCCCCAGAGCAGGGAGGAGAAGGGGATGACAGAGGATGAGGTGGTTGGATGGCATCACCAACTCAATGCACATGAGTCTGAGTAAGCTCTGGGAGTTGGTGATGGACAAGGAGGCCTGGCATGCTGCAGTCCATGGGATTACAAAGAGTCGGACATGACTGAGCGACTGAACTAAACTGATCACTCTCCCATCACCCCCAAGTGGGACCATCTAGTTACAGGAAAACAAACTCAGGGCTCCCACTCATTCTGAGTTATGGTGGATTGTAGAATTATTTCATTACATATCACAATGTAATAATAACAGGGGGCTTCCCTGGTGACTCAGATGGTCAAGAATCTGCCTGCAATTCAGGAGACCTGAGTTTGATCCCTGGATCAAGGGATCAAGGGAAGATTCCTTGAAGGAGGGCATGGCAACCCACTCCCGTATTCTTGCCTAGAGAATTCCATGGACAGGATTGCAAAGAGTTGGACATGACCAAGTGATTAACACACACTAATAATCACAATAGAAATAAAAATCATAATAGAAATCACAGTAAATGTGATTGCACTTGAATCATCCCTCCACCCCTGCCACTGGTCTGTGGAAAAATTCTCTTCCACGAAACTGTCCCTGGGGACCTCTGGCTTAAAGGAGGTCCTTAAAGGTGAGTGCCTTCATCTGGCCTTCCAATGCTCCGTAATGGCCTCCACTGACAGCTCCCTGCTACTCCACATGCCAGCACAAGAAATCACCCAGAGGTCCCGGACACGCCTCACAGCTTCTGGCCGCTCTGCTTCTGTTCTTGTGGTTCCCTCTACCTGGAGCACACTTTTCTTCCTTTGTGTCCAGGTCGAATGCCACCTCCTCTGTGCAGTCTGCCTGGATCCCTCCCGAGGGGACCAAGGCCTTCTCAGGCTAGCACTGCCCTGTCCCCACACCCACTCCCACAGATGTCTGTATGACTTTTCTACCTCGTACCAGGGCTCCCGGATTCGCAGGCCCACAGTCTCCCACCACCCCTTTCTGGAACACTCTCCTGCCTGTGAGGGCTTGCTTTAGTCCCTCTCCCCCAGGGGCACAGAGGCCATGTCTATCTTGTTCTTGCTAAATCTCAGGGCCTGGCACACAGACAGTGCTCAATAAATGCTCACTGGGAGAATACTAGCCTTACTCACTGACATGCCCTTGTTTTCTCTCTTTACCTGTTTGGGGTCACGAATACCTTCGGGAATTTTATGAAAGCTATGAATTCTGCTCCTGGCCAAGAATTCACACGTGTGTGCATGTGCCCATGGTCAGCATATAATTTTGGAATGTTCACAGGCCCTGGAAGCTCTAGGAGTTATGAACTCTTAAGTTATGAGCCCTTGCTCTAAAATGTTTTCTCTAGAGTATATTTGAGGGTGGTATACAGTAGGTACTTAATAAATACTTTTTGACTATATGGCTCTGAGTGCTGC